CGCAGTTGGAGAGGTTCCTAGGATTGCGTGGAATCGAGGGCGGGATATGCAGTCGGGTTAGTGATGATCTCCCTCATTGCATCGCAGGTCGCGAGAGCTCGGACCATCTTGCCTTGGCGAGCCAGCCCTACGAGATGCGACCGAACACCATCCCTCTACTCCGTATATCCACTCCTCTAGGACACAACCAATGTAGTCGACTTACTTCCGAGGCCACCAGTAACAGATGGCCGGTCCGAATGGGTTTGCACCATCTACTCACCGAGACCTCTAACTTGCACGTGCACGTATGGCAGCTGTGCGTAGACTATGCATGTTCTTCAACTGCTTTGATTATCATGATACCAGAGACATGTAATACACTGATAGAGCGAATTCGTAAGGCAAGAGATTGTCATGGGCGCAAGTCAGCAGGTGCGCAGTCGCATGGACGAGAACCGCACCAATGATGCTGCCACATGGCCTCAGCGATCATGGATTTCATCGCAACCACATTTGCATTTACAAAACTACACACTTTTGCATCCTCCCGTATCCCAGTGTTTCATCACACTGCATTATGCATAGTGCTGCCAGCTGAATCGTGAGCCGACGTCTAAGCCACGCTCACGCTGACGGCAGCCACTAGCAGCTCTGCGCCTTTATTATTATACACCGAAACGCCCTTCGACTGGTGCCTGATCGAACCCTGGGAACATCTGTCCCATAACCCGCCAAACCTCGCTCTCTTTGCGGGTCGGTGTTCGTGTGCGCTGTTTGCACACTCGCTCTGCTGTACAACTCGTGTTCTTTTTTGCTTTCAATATGCGTTCCTTCAAGTCCAAACTGCTGTCAGCCTGCGCCTGGGCGGCACCTGTACTCGCCGGCGTCATACCTCACCACGAGCGTCACGCTGCTCGCGCCGACGGAAATCTTTTGCAGCTAGGTACGCGCCCCTCTTATACTATTCCACATTCGCCATTCGTAGGCAGCTGCTGAACTTTTGCTAGACCTTCAACAGAACTACGCGCAAGCTACCTTCAGCGTCCCCTGCACTGGCTGTCTTGGCCGCGATCACACGGACCAGGATGACGAGTCTTTGGTAAGGCCCACCCTCAGGCACCTAAATACCATGCCACCTGCTCACCATCCCTAGACCTTGAGCTTCACCAGTCATGCCCAGGATCAAGCTTGTGGTTCTTCTAACATTACCCTGAACGGACTTCATCTTCCCCAAGAGTGGAACGGCGACTTCGCATCTGGTTCCGGTTCCTACCAAGGCGTTACCGACCTCACACAGAATGAATGGTTTCTGCAGCACGACTTGGATCTCGAATGGCAGACAGCCTGTCTTCGTGATAACTTGGAAACGGAAGAAGCAGCCCAAGTAGTAACGGTCAACATCAAGGCCATCGACGGCAAGCAAGTCACCAAACCTGCCGGTTTTACGATTTCGTTCAAACCGCAGACATCACCGCCTTCTCTACTCAGGCTTGAGTCTGTCCCCAACCCCTCGGCAAGCAACAAAGACGTAGCTGAATCCTGGCGCAAACCTCCTCGGTTATTGCGTCTGGCCTTCCACAACGTCACTGAAACTTCAAAAGCGAAGGGCAGAATCCCGTCTCTCAAGGACGACATCCGCGAGTTGAAAGTTCTTCAGAGGGAACTCAAAGAGCTCGAATCCCTTATCGCCGAGAAGAAGAAGCAGATTCATTCAGTCCTAAGACAAGAAGCGAAGGATCTATCGAAAGAATTGGGTGAATGTGACGGCGTTTCGTGCATCGTACAGACTATCGCCCATGAAGCAAAGTGTGCTTGGGAAATCGTATCCTTCCACTTCAAACCCGACCAACGATCGAAAGAGATGGATAGCCCCGAGCAAGTATTCGCACAGGCACATGGTCATGCTGCACAGGTGGCACAGATGTCTGGAAGTCACCTTAAAACCGTGACTTCAATACCCCAGGTATACGAGGCTCAAGCAGTACGTGTCTATGTTTAACACCGCACCAATGGAGCAAAGACTCTAATGCTGACCTCAAATAGAACGAGCTTCCACCTCGTCCACCTAAACCATCTCCCTACCTTCTCGCACTCGAGATCACACTAGGAGTTCTCTGCTGCGGCTGCCTCGTCGCCGTCATCCGCCACAAGTGCAGCAGCCTGCGAACGAGGACCGAGCGAGCTGCAGCCCGAGAAGAACGACTCAACGCCCGTGCTTATCGCCGAGCAGCCCGTCAACACGCATGGCGCAGCTGGTGGCGCGGTAACTGGGCACGGCGCGACAACCAACGCATCGCCGACTACGAAGAGAAACGGGCGCTGATCTCAGAGCAGGAAGGCGTGCTCGAAGACGCGATGCAAGAAGAGATCAGGCAGCTAAGGGATGCTCATGACGTCGTCAGCGACCTAGTCCGAGACGCCGAGGAAGGCAGAGCAATCAACCACACCCCCTGCGATTGCCAACGTCAACGGCCCCGCGCACCGTACTCGCCTCTCTCTACAGCATCGACCTACCCCCCAACCTCCCTCCCGGAGATCCCCTCAAGGCCGCTTTCCCGAACGGACAGTTTACCAAGTTATCGTTCAGAGCCCACCGAGCCTCCAAGCTATGAATCTGATCTCGAAGCTTCGGAGGTAGTAGCGAACGGCTTCAGGCAATACACCACGGCGTCTACTACGTCTGAACGGAGTTCGCATTGGACGCCCGACAGTAGCGTTGTTGATGTGAGCCCCAGGCCGAGCGCGGAGACGCTCAGGTATCCTGTTAGTATATTGACGCTTGATGAAGAGTCGGATGCAGACTGAGCGCCTGCCTCTTTGTGTCTGAGAAGACACATCATTCCGTCTTTGGCTACTAATACCCGGTACTCACCACGTAAAGGTTTCGATCCTTTACATCCACATACCCCCGTCCGCGCACTTTGGAGATCACATCTGCTACGCCTGCAGTACATCCGGCGCGAGCACATACTGCACAGCCGCCCCAGGCTTCCACACCATCTCTGTTTTCATCGTCGGATCTTCTGCGACTTGTAAACGTATTCTTCGTCCGTTATCCTTCCACGCATGCAGGTTTTCTGTTAGTTTGGAGTAAGGAGCTACACTGAGTTGTCTATACCAGCTTCATTCCTAGCGATGTTGATACATGGCAATGACCTGATCAGCTGGTGGTCAGAGGACACCACCCACTAATACCTCTACGTCCTCATGTATAATAACAAGCATACACAAGCGCGAGACGCGATTCTTGTATTTCGGAGTTATGGTCCGAGACTTGCATTACTAGCAAGCCCATAATACCAATCCAACAAACACATCAAGTCATCATGCTTGCAAAAACGTAAATCATGTTATACAATTGCAATTCTCCGCGTTAAGCGATCCATCTACATAATGTACAAACACATCACCCTCTACCGATTCCGCAGGTACCAGTTAAACGCCAACTGTCCCGTCTCAATATGGAACGGTGTAGGCACCTCTGCCAACCCTTGTCTCGCAACGGGATGCCTTAGATAGACAGCCGCGCAGATATTCTGATTAACCTCCAGGTACCGCGGTATAAACGCAAACGCACTCATATAGTCCCTCGGCCGCCAGGGCGTCGCATACGGCGCCCTCGCATCGCGCCTGTTCCACGCAGACGTATGCTCGGTCTCTAGCCGTAGTTTCTCGAACGCGGACCGCAGACGCGCCTGGTCTTCTTCTGAGATGAGGGGTTCGGCGGCGGAAGCGTCTTTGGGGGAGGAGGGGGTCGTGGCAGCAGCGCGCTCGGCGATTTGCGTCTTGAGGAAGTCGAATTGCGTGTCGAGGGTCGAGATGGTCTCTGGGTTTGCGGTGCGCCAGAGACTTATGGCTTTCTTGACGGATTGGCGGAAGGAGCGGAACTTCTGCTTGTCTTTTGCTTTGACGTCTTCGGCTAGGACGCCGTCGACTTGCTCCATTAGGTCTTGGAGTTGTTTCTTCAGCTCGGTGGGTGTGGGCTCTTCGCGTGTGGATGGGGTGATTACGAAGTCGTCTTGCTTTGGTTGCTTGGGTGTTTGCCCGCCGTTTTGCTCCCGCTCTGCGGCGCGGGCGGCCGCCTTTTCTTTGGCAATGCGACGGGCGGTTGATGAGCGTTCTTTCGGCGCGCCGGTTGCGAACATGACGGATGAGGGGTCGACTTGGAACATGTCGCCTGGGTTGAGTGCGTAGCCGGGGTAGACCATCTGGTTCAGTCAGTGGTGTTCACGTGCAGTATGCATAAATTGACGTACCTTCTTGCCATTGACCTTCACCAGGCCGTGGACAACGAATTGCCTCGCCTGTCGGACACTACTCGCGAATAATGCCCGGAAGATGGCTGTGTCCAGTCTCCTTTCCAACGGGTAGTATGCCATCTGCATGTACGGTGTCATTGGCCCTGTCCGGGCTTTTTCCTGTGTATCTGCACCCTGTCCTCGACCAGCTGCCTGCTCTGACCCATCGTGCTGGGCGAGATATCTATGGTCCATGGCCACTACGGCTGGCAGGTTCCGCCGGAACATGTGCTTCCACTTCTTCTCCCGTATGTGTTCGCCATGGTATGCTCGCGTCGACGCCTTGGCAGTCCATTTCTGCTGGAAGTATGTTCGAGTGGTGACGTTGGGTGCCTTGAGCTGTGATAGGGCGTATAATGACCACCGCGACCAATTCTGGCGGACATTCTGCAGCGTGTCAGCCTACGGCCATTGTCCGCCTATTCAAACAATAGCAAGCATACCAGCTTCTTCAGCGAATGGAACCTCGGCTTCTTCCTCGGCATGGTGAAGGCGGATCAGAATTGGTGATATTGTTACAATAGCGGCCCACGCGGCGAACGTAAATCTGGATAGCGGTCCGTGCCCGCCTGCATCGAAAATTCCCCACTAAGAACCATAGCTATCTCTCACCTTTGAGCCTTTTCTCTTCAACACCCGCCAACCTCTTTGTCGCAGCCTCAAATCCGCCTTTTGCAGCTTCTACACACTTACGCGACTCAAGCTGCACACATATTGACCATGGCAGACTCACAGACCACCGCTGCGCCTGCCGCAAACCCCGCTGAAGTCTCCAAGACTCAGAACTCCGTCGACGCCAACACGACTGAGTCAAAGACTGAGTCTACCCCCTCCAAGTCCGAGGACAAGGCCGCCAAGCCCGACGGCGAGGAGAAGTGGGAAATCAACGGCAAGTCCGACAGCAAGAACGACCGTCGCAACGATCGCGAAGACCGCGGTGACCGTCGCAATGATCGTCGCGATGGCGGTCGCGGAGGTCGAGGCGGTCGTGGTGGCCGCGGAGGAGCTCGAGGCGGATTCCACAACAAGAAGTGCGCTCACATCTTGAAGTTTGCCCTTGTCAGTACTAACTTTGCGCAGGACCAACAACAAGGACACATTCGAGGACCTCCCAGACTCCGACGACCCGAATGAGATCCGCCAACAGGTATGACTCGCACTTTCAGAACCATAGCCCACATTACTAACAGCCCCAAGGTCGAGTTTTACTTCTCTACCCAAAATTTGGCCACCGATGAGCACATGTTTAAGTCTCTTGAGGGCCCCAAGAATACCCCCGTTTCTATTCACCACGTCTGCACTTTCAAGCGCATGCGTCGCTTCAAGCCATACAGCGCCGTTGTAGCAGCACTTCGCGAGAGCAAGGACCTCGACGTCGTCGATGATGGCGAGTACAGCAAGGCCGGCAGCGAAGCTGTCAAGCGCAAGGAGCCCATTACCGTTCCCGCCAAGGAGGGTGACGACAAGAACCCGCCTACCACAGAAGACCTGTTCTACCGCCTGAAAAACAACTCCTCCAACAACATGGACATGAGCGCCTACGTCAAGGGCTTCGGTAACGAGGAGGATGCCGGCCAGATCGCCTTGGAGAAGTTCTTCCGCCCCTACGGCGCAGTCATGATCCGCAAGCGTCGCGAGGATGACGGCGCCTGGAAGGGCAGCGTCTTTGTCGAGTTCGATTCCGAGGACTCCCGCAAGCAGTTCCTCGAGCTTGACCCCGCCCCCAAGTACAACGGCAACGAGCTCACCGTTATGGGCAAGAAGGAGTACATTGAGATGAAGTGCAAGGAGAAGGGTATCAAGCCCGACTGGGAGTTGACCGACCAGGAGAAGTACGAGCAGCGCAAGAGGCTCCGCGGCACCAACGGAGACGGCGGCCGTGGCCGAGGTCGTGGTGGAGGCCGTGGTCAGGGCCGCGGTGGACGTGGCAACGACCGTCGCGACAACCGCCGTGACGGCAACCGTAACCGTTCTCGCTCTCCCCGTGGACGTCGCGACCGCAGCGGCTCTGTCGACAGCAACGACTGGAACAAGCGTCGCGATCGCTTCAGGGACGGCAAAGACGACCGCTCCAGCCGCAAGGAGGAGAAGAAGGAGATTGAGCGCGACGCCCACGGCGTTCCCGTCATCAAGGATTCTAGCAACGACAACGCCTCCAACAAGCGCAAGGCCGACGACGGCGAGCGCACCGAGAGCCCCAAGAAGAACAAGCTTGAGATCAAGCAGGATGAGTAGGGACCTGTCCTCTCATATCTCATATTTTCAGGACATTTTCGTCGCTCACCCGAGTTGACTTAACCACACACCTTACGGAATGTTATTGCATACTATGGCGTTGAAGGATTACCACATTTCTACGGTCATCGCTATGATACCTATCCATGTTCCGGGCTTTATTGGGTTTGCGGGCAAAAGTTTCTCTTCTCATATCTGATGGATGGACAAATGCATCCGCCTGTATATGGTATTCCCGTATACAGTGTCTTCACTGTGCATACATGTAGCTTCACGACGCATGAGTTCGGTAGCATGAACGATGAATGGAGATACTATCACTGAAACGAGTCTCATGCTTGCTGTCTGCTACATAGATAAACATGTTTATTGACTAAACGAGATGACAGCCTAGGTAATATACTCGATCCCTCAATCAAAAAATCTTCAAGCCAGCCCCATAATCTTCCCCCCTCCCCCCGGCAACTTAACCCTCAGAACCGCCCCCGGAAAAACCCTCCCATCAACCCCCTCATTCCAATTCGGCTGCCTTGGCAATTGATTAATATTCACATACAAATACCCATCCTCGCCCACACTCGCTCCATCAGGCCAAATTATCCTTGGGTCCCTCACAAAAGGCTCCGTCATCTTCGTCCGTGGATCATACACGTAAATCGCATTATGCTCAGGCATACACTGATACACCAAACCATTGCTATCGCCCTCGAACCCATTTGCATTTCCGCCGCGCTGACCGAGATTAGTCACGTTGTTCGCGGCTGTGAGTTCGGCGAGGGGGTTCGAGGGAGGAGTTAGGAGGTTCGCGGTGGGGATTGAATACAAGTAGTCAGACGTGAGCGGACTGTAATATATCGTCTCCCCATCCGGAGATATCTGGATCCCATCCAACCCCTCCCTCAGCGTCTGGATCGGCTGGCCGATCGTGCGTTGGTAGAACGGGACGCCTTGGTAGGACGGTACGTCGCGGTCTACACGTAAAGTGGAGGGGTGCTGGGTTAGTCGCCGCCAACTCTCGCCCGTGCCCAGGTCCAGGACGATGAAGCCGGGCCGGCCCTCGTCGCTGCTGTCGACGATGTATGCGACGCCGCCCCCGGAGGAGGTGGTGGTGGGGCGCAGGTCGAACCGGATGTCGTTCATGTAGGAGTCTGGGAAGTGGACGGAGGCGGGGAAGGTGTAGGTTGCGTAGATGGTGTCGTTGGAGAGGTTGATACCGAGGATTTTGGGTCCGCCGGGTTGCGCGTATGGCATACTGGGTGCGCCGCTGTTGTCGGTGATGGTAGGTCGGCCGGTATCTACAACCCAGAGGGTTTCTGGTCTGTGGGCATTTTCAGGTGTGATGTAGAGGGCTTGGACGCTGATTAGACCTGTGCTGTTGTTGCTGCCGAATGGGATTCCGTTCCAGCTTGTGTTTAGTTGGGAGACGGGCAGGTTCAGAGACGCGGATGGGTATGGGATTTCAGCTGTTTTGTTGACGACTTCGCCGAGGGTGTAGGCGTAGGAGCCGCGGGTATAGGTTGCGAAGAAACGGCCTGTGGAGGAAATGGCGAGCCCGATGGGCCATTGTGTGTAGTAGTAGTGGTACTCTTCTATTTCGGGGCCGTAGGTTCCGGGGTCTGTTTGCAGGATCGTGGTGCTGCTGTTTTGGAAGGTGATTTGCGCTGCGGCACCCGCTGTCAACGCGACGGTTGATAGAAGTGAGGACCGCATTTCGATTGTAACGGCCCAAGGGTGGCTTGAATGGTTGTTTCGATGAGTGGACCTAAGGCGTCTTTAATAAACGTTGCAGCTTCCTCCCGCTTCTGCATCGTGATGTCAGTCGTCAACAAACGTCATACCCTTACACGTTCCTTACGTGCATGTTGTGTGGTACATGCTACCAGCAACGGCAGTTAGCTTCCATGACGTTCAGTATTTCCGGGTTTAAGCTTCCCTGGTCGTACCTGCATGAAGCGGCTCTGTCGATCACGTTGATCTCGCGAACTACTATCACTAGTACCAAGACACCATAAAAACGACTCGTAATCTATGTATTCTTCTCTAACCGTCTTGCTCAAAAGGGAAGTCATAGAAAGTATCGATAAGATGATGCAGATTTTGACATCGTACTACTGTACAAAACAACCGAGCTTCGCGCCCACAAACGCCTTCTGGAGACTTCCAGACCTTAGTGGCAATGCTTTAGATCCAAAAGAAGAACAGAAAGGTGCTGAGCTGACAAGTTGACATGGCTTGCCGAATCAGACCTGAAGAAAAAAAATACGAGTCAGCAGGTGCTGAGCCAGGAAACCTTGAATGGAGATGTGGGACAGAGAATCACTCTACCGTCCACCTTTGCTGACTCTCCTTTGGGATGGGCTTCCCACGAAGCTACCCCGTGGACTCCGACTGATGGCCGGCATGAGTGGCACCTTCTCCATGCCCAGCTTCGTCTCAAAGATGCGCCCGACGAGCGCCTGTACGCTTCTCTGCACATCGGGTGCCATCTCCGTGCCGAGAAGTCCAACAACAAGCGGCGCAAAGAGGTCCACGTTCTTTTCGAAATCCGTGGTGGGCAGGCCAGTGTATCCATCCAATACGGTCACGACGACAGGACGCCAAGTAACAATGTTGCGTTGTTGCGTCTCTTCGTCGAGATCGACGTATGAGGCAATAATGTCTTCGCACAGTGGGATCAGGGCAGCTTCGGTATCGGCGCGTGATGCGGCGCGGTCGTTGGATGTGTCGTGGTACATTCGGAATAGGATGCTGACGTACACCGACGCAGATCCGCTTTCCTGCTTCAACAGGTTTGGTGGCTGCTTCATGAAGCCTTCCCTGAATAGGCGTGACCTCAAGTCACGGTTGGCATTGAAGCGCTTGGCGAAGTGGTATGACTTCTTGAGTACAGCCATGAGGCGGAGCAGTTCGCCAGAAGGTATCTTCTCGTAAACGGCTTCGTTTGTGAAGAGCTCTTGAACCGTCTCGATCATGAGGAGTTGTAGAACACACTTGGTGATGATCTGGTTGAAGAAACGACGACGAGCAGCAGTTACGACAACAGGTGGTTGCTGAAGATCCTGATTCTCGGGACGGTAGTCTTCTAGCTCTTGTGTCTGACGCTTTGGTAGCGGGGATGGCATACGCTGTTCGACTCCGCCACTAATGCTAGCGGAGTCCGAGGTCACCAGCGACGGTCGCCTTGCGCCTGAAAGACCATTGATACCGAGCGCATTGTCCAACTTTGGTTCCTCAGCAGGTGTTTGAAGCGACAATTCGCCGGGAGGCCCTTCTCCTGTAGGCGTCGTCAAGTCTGATGAGTTGCCGGTACCGTTCGTCGAAGTACTCTGTGCCGAAGAGCCGCTCGTCGCAGCAGAGAATAGTGCTGTTGCTTCGGTCCTTTGGAAGAGATCGACGAATGCCTTGACAATCTGACTCCAGTGATCTGCCTGAAACTTCTGGACGTTCTGCAGAATCAACTGCTGTAGACAATTACTGCCGATGCGTGCTAGGGTGTCGTTCTCTTGACATATGCAGAGGGCGAGGAGATCTAGGAACCGGTCGAGCATGTACTCTAGCGAATCGAAGAAGTGGGTGAAGAGTTTGATCATGTTCCGCAGAGCCTGGATCATCGTTGTCGATAGCCAAACGGAAAGCTCTTCGTGGTTCAAAACCTTGGTCATCTCAGACTTTGACTTCAAAACCATGAAGATGGGATACAGAAGCTGTCGCCAAAGCATGTCCCAGAAATCCCTCGGGAAATCGCCTCCATAGCTGATCAGGGTATCAAAGAGATAGCTCAAGGCTCTTGATCGAACCTCCAGATCCTCCCCAGTCATGAGGACGTCGTGGAAGGCGAATAGGACTGGGAACCAGAATTGCTCTTCTTGAGTTTGTCGGCTGGGCTGCTTCGGTATCGAAGAGCCCTTTTCGGAATCCTTTAGGTACCCAGCACGGGCGGATAAAGAGCACTCGGGCGTCCGTAACATCTTGGGTACAGATGACTTGAGCAGTTCTATTGCTTGTAGCGACTTCTTTTGGAACTTGAAGTTCTTCGAGAATTCAGTCAGACAGACAATGAGATCTGCAAATGCGCCTTGGGAAATGACTACACCGAAACGGGTATTGTATACTTGGGTGACGTTCTCAAACGCAAGGTTGACGATGCCCTCTGCTGCTTATTAGTAATTGTACAAGTGGACTCCAGAAAAGGCATACCATAGGGCTCTCTGGCGGCCACAGTGAAAACACCAAACATGGTTTTCCAGCCAGACCGAATGTTCTCGCCGCGCGCTTGGATCATCTGAATTAAGCAGCGTAGCACCATGTCCTTGACCGAGACAACATTGGTGTTGTTGATAATGTGCTCAAAGGGTTTGAGGAAGTCCTTCTGGAACTTGAAACCGGGCAGTTCCTCAATCTCCATGAACTTCATAGACAGTTGCCGTAAGGAGTTGAGAGCGAAAAATACGACATTAGTGTTGGTGTGACATCCGACCTCGTTGAAGTGAGCGCCAAGCACCTGCCAGATGTTGGTCCACTCAAAGCGCACACGCGTCATGTTGTAGCCACTGATTTCTACGAGCTTCTGCAGACTGTAGGTACGCGGAGACTCGCTCTGTCCAGAGGACTGAATCTCTTGCCAGCTGACCTGAACAAGGGCTTTGACAAAGTCTACGATGGCTTCACCAGATAGGTTCGCACTGTTGGTAAAGATGCGGTCTACTCCTCGGACAATGTCAGTAGATCGGCTCTCCTCGGCTACTTCGGATTGGAAGCTCATAGTGCTGGACTGTGATGTTGGCCTTCGCCGGTTGGCTGGAATATTCAGATTCTTACGCGACTGCGTAGTGCCTGAACTTGACTTGAGTACATCCGGCACGGCGCGTTCATCGATGCCGGCTGAGATGAGTTGGAAACGATCCAACTGAGAAACACATGTGAGGACCTCGCGCCAGGATTCTCGTAGAAGATTTCCTTCCGTCTGTGCAATCTCGATCAGGGCTTTCAATGCCTCCATG